AGACTGGGACAAGTGGTCTATGGTGTAGTGAATAGTTGCTTCATAGATGGGAGGTCAGGGGTTCGATCCCTTGACAGGTTCGATTTTTGCATTTTTTCGGAACATCTTCTGCGAGTTCAGAAAATACTTCTATCCGTTATTTTGTCAAGCTTGCTCTTACTTGCAGCAGGAAAAGACTCAAATGCCGGCAATTGTGCTTCTCTTTCAAGACTTTTAGGCACTATTTACCCTTTACTGCCCCAGTCATCCGAAATCAGGCCAGTTTTTGACCGACTTTTTTCTCCGTGGACAGATTTGGCTCAAATGTTGTCTCCTGGGGTAGTTTGACCTCCTGAATACGAATATCACATTCGCTTAGCCCGAAACTTCCTGGCGCCCGCGCGCCGATGATTGGCGGGCGCGGGCGCCAAGAGTTCTTAAGATAAGCGGATGTGGTATTCGCGTTCAGGAAGTCAGACCACCCCGATAGGCAAGTTTTGAGCGAATTTGGTGATTTAGAGCATTTTGTGACTTGGGCGCCAGGAGGTTCCGTGCGAAAGCTTGACAAACTAACGGATAGAAGTATTTTCTGGACTCGCAGAAGATGTTCCGAAAAAAAAGCAAAGCTTCGAACCTGTCAAGGAATCGAACCCATGACCTCCCATCTATGAAGCAACTTACCTATCCACTACACCACGACCACTTGAGACTGTCTGTACTCGAACTTAACTTGAGCTACGCAAAGGAGGATCGGCGAGTGCTATGCTAGACCCCCCTAACTCCTTCTAGAGAATCGTTCGGCAAATTCTGAAAGCAGATTTGAGTTCAGCGTCCCAAGACCTACACGTCGATATGCATCCCATCTTGAATGGCCATGGCGACCTGTTGACCTTCCTTGGTAAGTTTATTGCGCACAGTGTGGCAGGGTACAAAGACCGTAACAAGGTAGATGGAAGGTGAAGATTCCTGGGATGTTTTTCTATAGGCAGGGACAAGCCCTCCACTTCAGCCCCAACGGTCAAGACAAAGTGATGCCATCAGTCATCGTCGGTTGAGCTCGATACATCCTACAGTATTGGTATTTGCTCCGAGCAACTGAATTTCTTCAGTTAGGTTACTTGCGTGCAGGTGACTAGAGACTGTCCTGTAATGATAGGAGACTTCAGACGTTCAGCTTTTCGGACAACATCGCTATAGTCCGTAATTTATTGTCCATGGCTCGATCTTACAAGACGAGTGTGAAGCGCAATGGGACTCTCGTCACGTGGGATTTCGAAGGTAAATGGACTGGGAAATGTTTCCGGATGTTCAGAACACCCTCAAACCGCCGCTGTGAGCAAGAGAAGTTCGAGGGGTATTTTCTGTGAGCGAAGTGTCGTTTTCGTTGTTCTACAGCCTGCATTCTCTTTTCTCACTATGATATTCTCGTTTTAGCAATTGCTTTCTACAGGAATCATATGTTGCTGGCACGGAATGTGGATTTTGCAATAGTAGGCGTAAGAAGAAGAGTTTTCAACGCTATTCGGCCTATGTAGCACATGTGAAATCGCATATGAAACCTGACCAGTATTTTTGTGGTGCTTGTCAAGAGGAATTCACCTACTTTGTAAGTTTTGCTCAAATTACGCTTTCTTCTTTCAGACGCTGTGTTCGCTTGAATAGCAAAAGGTATTTTCTTTGCCTAAAGTTTGCGTTTTCATTGAACTGATGAAGTGGTATTAACGTATTTTGCCTAGAAGTGTTTTTCATTCAGACCTTGTTCCAACGGCATCGTCGAATAACTCATGGAGCTACGGATACGGAGGATATTCCAAGAGGATTTTCCTTCGAACTAGGATTTTGTCCGCATTGCGGCTCATTGATTGCGCTTGACCAAATCGAAACGCATCGTCTTCTGCATCAGCTTCATAAGTAGGCGTTTGATTCACTGCGATTTTTCTGATTGCTAGGTAGACGTGAGGGTCATTCACGATTCACATGCAACCCTTCATGGTTTAGCGGGCTGGAATTGCTTCGAGAGTTTGGGTTCTTCGCTGTTTTGCATTTCATGTCATTTTTCAAGATTATTGACGTAATGAGTATTGACTGGAATTTCTTCGCAGTGTCTATTTTGCATGCAGAGTCTAGATAGAACCTTTTTTTGCTTCCGACTCATAATACATAGCAGTAGCATTCTGGATTCTGCCTGTCGGAGGCATGACTTGGGCTCTTGCACCGCAGGAGATCAGAAGCAAAGCGTTGGTCGCCGTTCTCTCATGTAGGGGTCGTGTCAAGAGCCACTACTGGGGAGGGGGGGGCTACTCATCAGGAATCTTACTTACAACGCGATGCTGGCTTTATCGTCGTCGACAACCCTCTTTATTAACCATCGAGCTCCTCTTTCTTGAGTAGACTCTCGACGTGGCGCATCAGAACTGTATACATGTGTTGTGCAGCATTCCACCTTTGGCAGGTATAGGGAACAGTACTCACCCTCCCATACCTAGAACTCTCTCCTCGCGTTGATTGTTGCCGCTGAACCATCTTATTCTCACTGCATAGAAGGGTCAAAAACCCAGTTAAAAAAACCCAGTATGGCAACTGTCCAGGCTTTGACGAAGAGCGGAGAACCACAAAAAGAAAGTCGAAGTGACAGTCTTGAAAAGGCTCCACCAAAACAACTAACTACTCAATCAGGCCAGAATCAAAAAGAATACGCTCGTGGTCATCTGTTTTTGTCATGATTACCATCGTTAGCTGTAATAGAATCGAACTAAACTTGGGTACTGTAACCTGGGTACTGTATGGTGGAGCTGAAGCTGGGTTGTTAGGATTAGGGAATACCTAACGTCCGAAAGACCCAGCTTCAGGTATAGGTAGGCGTGCCCTGGTGCCCCTGTATGTGGTGTTATCCCTAGCACCATCCACTTGTTTGGATTTTCGGTTACCATGCTCCTCATGTATCGAGGGCCAGGCTTCACTTGTTGTCTCACCATGCATAGACTGCGACCACAGCAGCGGATTTTGCGTGTGCCTCAGCCGCTTTAGGGGTCATTAAGTTTGTTGTTCTCTCATACGGATGGG